AGTTCTGAAGCAATAGCTGTCACTTTCATCCCTGGTCATATTACGTAGTTCTAAAGCAATAGCTGTCACTTTCATCCCTGGTCATATTACGTAGTTCTAAAGCAATAGCTGTCACTTTCATCCCTGGTCATATTAAGTAGTTCTAAAGCAATAGCTGTCACTTTCATCCCTGGTCATAATTTAGAACTACTTAAGCAATAGCTGTCACTTTCATCCCTGGTCGTATTAAGTAGTTCTAAAGCAGTAGCTGTCACTTTCATCCCTGGTCGTATTAAGTAGTTCTAAAGCAGTAGCTGTCACTGCATACAGATAAATTGTTTTCAAGTTGAACCAATTCATTGAACACACAACTTAGTATTTCATATGGAAACTTTATAACACAGGCAAGGTAACATTTCCTAAGTTATGTGTATTGTCTTAACTTGATTTTCAGGTCTTTCTCCAGGAAAACCAGCTTTGTGGAAACATTTCACATCTGTAGACTTATCAACATGTATTAAATGAAAAGCATCTAGTAAATATATGCTCATCAAGATAAAGGGGCATTTCATAGTTTTTTGTTTTCCATTTAAGCATTTATGTAACAAAGTTGCAGTACTGCTTATATAATGTCTTCATTTAATTATTGAAATTTAGAAGAATTATTTGTAGGTAAAAATATACCAGTCTGACATTATCTAATGTAATATGTAGATGAGATGAAATATTATACAAAAATAACAATTCATTTTTCTTTTGGCTCTTTATTTCCCTGTCAAAGCACTTAGCTACCCAATAAAGATGTCCAAGGTCTTTCATGCCTTTGAACAAACCTAATAATTACAAGCAATTTGTGGAGAATTTTTGAAGCAAATAAACTACAGTGACTTTTCGATTCCCAGGATAGAAAATTTTTCTCTTGTTATTGTAACACACAATGCCATATTTACATAAATTTTCTGCCTTGTGTCTTCTCACAAACATGAAATCTTTTTCTATTGTGTCATGAAACAACCCAGTATGACCTTATTGTTTAGAAAAAAAAATTCAATTTATACCATTTATGTAGTCTTACAACAATCATCAAAATAAAGTATCAAAGAAATATGATAATGAATCTCAATCAAGTTGAAACTGACTGGATGTATAAAATAGGGATTTCTGATTGACAATAAACAAAATTTAAATTGTAAGATGAAATCTTGTGTTTTTAATGGTCTATTAAAACAGTGGTTCACAAAAAAGTTTGGAAAGTTCACAACCTAATAAATGATAGAAATAATAAATCAAATTCTATATATTTGAAGCCAAAACTAGATACTACTTAGTAAGTCCACTGTGAAAAGGAAACTCCTCTTTTTTTCCATATAAGGTTAAAAGAAAATACTTATCTTACGAGTTTTAAATCAGGCCCATAATTTTCAGACAGAACAAAAATGTACAGTATTTCAAGTAAGATTTTTTGTGTGAATATATGCTAAAATTGCTGTATGGAGAAAAATAATTCTATTGTAGGTACCTTGCCCTTCATCTATGATGATTTAATCGAAACAGCAGATTTATCTCCCTTTTTATTTATAAACTGTAATACAGTTTACTTGCAGTTATTAAATATAAATGATTGATCAGCCATGACAATTAGTTATTCTGTATATAAAACATTTGGAAACAATAAGAAAAGTACGAATAATTGTACTTACTACTTAGGGAAATGAGCATAAAATGTGATCCATGTGATTTCTATGATTAAATATTGAGCTTAGATATAAGTTACTGACAAGTCGTGAGTTTGACTCTGACAGAAAACATCTTCCAGTTAACTGACAGGTAATTTTCAGTCATTGTTTGCAAGATTTCAAGTGCTATGCTTGAAGAATGAAAGAGTTATTAAACCTATAAGTACATGGTTGCTGTACATTGTGGTGTTTGGGTTTAGACAAAAATATAGTGGTCACTGGATATGTTGAACAAGTGGATGCTATGTGAAGTTTCTTTAGGTTTAAAATTTAAAAAAGTTCATTGTTATGTACAGGTGTTTTTTAGTACAGTTATAATTTTACCATATTAAAAGTTGAGTATTTTATCCAGAAAAAAATTTAAACATTTTAGAATAATCTAATGAATATACATAATTTATTTTGTTAGTAACCTGTACTTGTTCTTTCTCTAGTATAATGTATTGGTTTCTTTGTAGCTTGAGTTAAAGAAGAGGTTCAAAGTGCGATTATTTATTGATGAAAGTTGTTCTTTTGGTGTTCTTGGAAAAAATGGTAGAGGAGTGACAGAACATTTTAATATACCTGTAAGTAGATTTTTTATTTCTGTTTATTTTATCCATAAGGCTATATTTCATAACTAGTTGTATGTGCTTTATGTATGCAATCTTGCAAGTATATGTATATATGTAAGTGCCTTTATGTATTGGAAATAATTATGGAAATGGTAAGGCAAAATAATATAAAAAGCAAATATTATGGAAATTCCACCTTCCAGAAAAATTGTAATAGTTATGGGACACTGTCTGCTCTTTGCATGTTATTATTCTATGTTCTTTGGTGCATTATTAAATTAAATAAAAATATAGTGCATTACTACCATTAGTATATATTTAAAAAAAAAAAAAAGGCTTAATAGTCATCGACAGTCGACAGCAAAAAAAAAAAAGTAAGTACTTTATCTCTTGTTTTAGTGTGTATTCTTTATTTGTTATCATAAAAGTAACTAAAATGTCAAAATATGAAACTCTTTAGGTTAATGAAGGTTAGATTAGGTAAAATAAGTAATAATATAATAACTTTTCATGAGGCACACATGCGAGCAGCTTGTGGGAAATGTAATTCCATAGCATAACATGATCCGTACGTTGCCCATGTGATTTACAACTTATAATGCTGTGAATAGTAGTTAGACATGGTTCAAAGGACAATAAAATTTAAGTGTAAATATTTGTGTACTGCTGTGAGTTTAAAGCTATTTAAGATAAACAAATGTAGATTCATATTACAATTTGAAGTCATTCTAGAAAGAAAAAAGGGTAATTTAGATTTATTTCTATTTTATTTTTTTTGGTGGTTATGAAGTTGGCAAATTGACCAATCATGTATAAAGCTAGGGTAGAGAAAAAAACAGATAAAATATAGTTTTACTGAAATAAAAGTTGAAATTTTATTTAAGTGGTTTTAGAAATTATATAATTAAAATTTGAGATTTTTGAGACAAAGAAAAGTGTTTTTAATTTTAACATGAAAATCACTTAGCACTTAGATTAGTATTTAGCAATACTATGTATATTCACAGACAAATCTTTAGTAAAAAAATACTTCATTAAAAACTGAATTTTTCTATAGAAAAGGCTTGTAATGTTTACCAAATGTCTTCTAAACTTATGAAGATACACATACTGTATTAAAACTTGTAGTATGAAAACTATAACAAGTACAAAATGGGAGCTGGGTCGGTCTCTGGGACTGAGTCCATAGTGAGAGAGTTAATCAGAAAGTGACACACTGGAATATAGTCTATTAAGTACATACAGTAATAGAGAGATCCAGTAATGGTTTCCAGGACAGAAATACCACATAACAATAATGTAAGGTTAGTTTTGGCTGTTGAAGACATCCATGTTACTGTAGGAACTGTATACAAGACTCTGTAGAAGGTGCGTGAAATTTTTACTTTGAGGATAGAAGTATTTGAGGTAGAATACCAAAAGTGATGTGTAGTATTGTAGAATATTTTCTTTAAAAGATAGACTATAATTTAGTACAGGTCTTGTCAATGACCTTGCTGTAAATACATGTTTGAATGCTATCATGAGAACAGTAAGATACATATTAACTCAGAGTCATCTCCATGAACGTGCTCTACTTGAAAATGAATGTTGGACCACAAACAGTGGAATAAACAAAGCTGGAGACATGTTTGCTTTATGGCGGTATTATAATCAATGTACAATATCTTCAGTTAAGCATAGTGGAAGGACCATTACAAGCTTGGGGCTGTACTTCAGCAAATTGATCTATACAAAACTAATGGAAATATCTTCAGTTAAGCATAGTGGAAGGACCATTACAAGCTTGGGGCTGTACTTCAGCAAAGTTGATCTATACAAAACTAATGGAAATATCTTCAGTTAAGCGTAGTGGAAGGACCATTACAAGCTTGGGGCTGTATTTCAGCAAAGTTGGTGATCTATACAAAACTAATGGAACCCAGACTGCCGTCAGTATACATGCAGATTCTGATCTATAAATTCCACTCCTTCAGGAACGTGGCTCATTGTGGAAGCGAATGTGGTGAAACGATATTTTGATGGTACAGAAGCTGTTGAAATACTCACAACTATGGTTTTGCTTACACAGCCCCAATAGGAATGTTCTTGAGGCTGTATGGACTTGTGTAAAAAGTGAGAAGTTTAAAAGGTGGCCAAACAGCTTGGCTGAATTCTAAGGAGTAATACAGAACACGCTAAATAATAATACATAATTGAAATTGATAAACTATATGGCAGCATGAAAATAAGATGCAAGCCTTGCATACAAATTATTAGTGCATTGTATAATTTTTTGCTTTTCTTTTGTATTTTCTCTGATAATGTTTTGTAAAATTAGTAGATTAACCATCCGGTTGCCATTACTATTTCATAACATTTTTTGTTTTCCTCAGATAGACATGGGAGTATTATGTAATTGTACTCTACTGTTTTAATAGGTGTGATGATGGTTGCATAAGAAAGTAAATGTTTAGAAATGTAGTGAAAGAATTCTCCACTTGTGTAATGTAGTAAATACTGCAGTAAAGAACTCATTCTGCAATTAAAAATGAATTAAGCTTCAGAAAAATCTTTATTTAACCGTCTCACTATGAGCTCACTGAATTACACTGACCTTGTAACCCTAAAATGACCATCAGTTTCCATGCTATTACTTTAAATATACTTTGTGTATCTTTCCAAAATTTGGCAAGCTTTTAGTAAACATTTCATCTTTTGTATACAAAAAATCAGATTTGTTAATCAAGTATTTTTACTAAACATTTGTCTATTAATATATGGAATCAGAGTGTTGACTTCTTTTGAGAGCAGTGATTTTCATTTAAGATTAAAAATGCTTTTCATTTGAAAATTGTAAAATTTCATTGGCATAATCTCTAAAACTTCTTAAATAAATGAAACATTTTTTCATTCATATTTTACATCTTATCTATTATTCCCTCTAACCTAACTTTTTATGCATTTGGTCAAATTGACTGATCTTTTAACCACCATAAAAATGTGAAATAAATCTAACTTGCCTTTTTTTCCTTTTAGAATGACTGGAAATTGTAAAAGGAAACTACAATTGTTTATCCTAAATGACTTAAAGCTTGTAACAGTATATTTATACTTAAATTTATTGTTTCATTGACCTTTGACTCATGACTAACTAATAATCCCACTACACAAGTTGTAAATCATTTGCCAAATGCATATCTCATGTTACTGTATTGAATGAAGTAATGCATGAGCTGCTTGTGAGCATACCTTATAAAGAATGTTTGTTACTATTATTTTTCATTTCTTACCTAATCTTATCTAACCTAACAAGTTTCTAATTTTTACATTTTAGTTACTTTTATTATAATAAGTAAAGAATACACATGAAAAACAAGAAATATATCATTTGCTTGTGACCTCTTTGTTTTTTCTTCCAGTTGCCAATTAAATTTAAGCCTACCTTTTTATACTAATGGTATTAGTACACAAAATAATTTTTAGTTACTTACGTAATGCACATAAGAACACAGAATAATAACATGCACAAAACAAATAATGTCCTATGACTATCATAAGTTTTCTAGCTTTCTAATTCTAGCATAAGCACCTTTAAATCTTACTTAAAGCCTGTCCATATGAAAATTGCAACAGAAAATTTAAAAGTAAAGACAAGATAGACAATTCTCTGTACTAAAACCAATATAATATATATTGGTTATAAATAATATAGTATTAAATGTCAGAGAGAACTGTTAGAAATTTGTGAAAGGGAGGATGTGACAGGTGGACATAGCAAGTGGATCTGATTTTCTAACTTATGACTCTAAACAAATTAGATTGAAGATTACAAGAATTGGGGTTTGCCTTAGTAATATCTATATTATAATGAGTACATTAAATTCTGTACTTCTCAGAGGGATGGTAAATAAATTAGAGATGAAGGAAGACCTCAAGAACAAATATAACAATTCTTATACCAGGGGAGATTGAGGATTTTTTTAAATGTTTTCTCATAAAATTAAGAACTTAAAACTTGTATACCATTAATATTTGATTTATTAACTACATATTGATGCCAAGTTTATTCATATACTATGATAATGAAGTAGTTTAACTAAAGTTTGAATGTAACTTTCTAATAGGTCATGACATGCACTTTGACCTACCTGTAGCAAAAGGGTTAACCAACATTTTGACTTACTTCAGATTTAGGGTGAAATGTTTTACTGCATACCACAATTATACCTTATTCTGAAAAAGACGTACGATGAAATGTTGGTTAAGTAGGTTTATCTGGAATTTTTAATTGTATTTTGTGTAAACTAGTCATTCCTTTTGTGTTGTAACCACTGTTCTTGTTATATTTTGTAGGTAGAAGATGTAGATCTAATTTCAGCTTGTCTGGATTATGCTATTGGCTCATATGGTGGATTTTGTTGTGGCTCTTCCTATGTTGTTGATCACCAGGTAAGTTTACATCTTTTTATGGATGTTAACAAAATTAGTGTAGTGTATAAATCAGGTTAGTTTGTAATTTCTTTGTCTTTAAATTTGCCAAATTGGTAAATGTTTGGTTAAAATGCACCTTCAAATTCCTGTAGTAACTGATGATTTATATATATTTTGAAGTATTTTATGGACAATCAACATAATATGAAGAAAATAGTCTTATGGAAGTGTATTCTCAAGTACAAATAGACCTGTAAACTGAGAGGTAAATTTCTAATTTTATATATATATATATAGTGTTTATTTATTTGTTGTTTTATACTTTTAACAAAATAAAACTGTAAAAAGTAGAAACTTGTTAGGCTACATTAGAATATTTTAATGAAAAAAATTCAATTAAAACATTTCTTGTGATCACCTGTTTTCATAATTCCCATGACATCAGGTCACATAATATAACTTGGTCTGTTTGGTTACACTAAGCTGTTTTGCTGTGATGTATGGTGTTTCACATATTGACATGTAATACAACTTTAAATCATTTAAAGTAAAAGAAAGCAAATGTGAAAAGATTAGAAAGCTGAGGCTGCTGTTAGGATAGATATTTTTACATGACTGTTACAGTCAGAAGTCATTCCATAAAAGAAAAGAAGGTTTTTATTTTCTGAGTTTTCATTTCATGTAAGTTGATGACTTTGCTACAGTTAGAATAGAGACGATAAGAAAGAAGGTGTAAAGTATTACCAAATAAAACTTGATATTCGTTTGGGAGGTTTTAAAGGTTAAACAAAAGAAATATGAAAACTGTAAAATTAAAAGAAGTATTTGTATTCTTAAAAGGAAAATCAGATTTCATTGAAACTGTCTCAGTAGAGACTTTATAAATTCTTCTAAGTATTTTATTAAACAATCTGTACAATATGCTTGTAATGTTTACTAAAAGCTTTCCACATTTTGTAAATATATACGTGGTACAATTCAGGATTATAGTATGTATAGTTTTATGGTTATCACATTGGTAAAAATTATCAAAACCTTGTGTATAGGGTTAACATACATTCTGTATAATATGAATAACAGGTTTATTTGAAGTTCCTGTGTACTAACATAGATTCTTTTGGTATAGAAACCACATTAGTTTGATGGTTCTATATTTATATTTAAATAAAATCATGCAGTTAAATGTTGATTATGATTTTTTTAAAGGTTTTGATTTAATTTTGTAACTGTTTATAGCTTTTTGTTTAATATTAGATCTTGAGTTACAGAAAAAAAATTTTTTTCAATTATTATTTACATAATTCTTTACAAGTTACATCTTTATCATAAATTATATAAGTTAAGATTATTTCTGTGCACTATGGAAACCAGGTTAACTTGAATTTTTCAATGTATACTTAAGATGATCTCTATGTAATAAAGAAATTCATAATTGTTTTTTTAAATATCATGAATATGGAACATCATGTAATTTTAAAACCTAAAAATTTGCAGAGACTCTCTGGACTGGGATACTGTTTTTCGGCTTCTCTGCCACCCCTTCAGTCAATTGTGGCTAGTGTTGCTATAGATGTACTCAAATCAAAACCAGGTGTGTTATTGTTTCCTTGTTTAATTTTATTACTCTGTAATAGATGGTGTGGTGTAGGTGTACTGAAGTCAAAACCAGGTGTGTTATTGTTTCCTTGTTTGATTTTAGTACTCTGTAATTGATGGTGTGATGTAGGTGTACTGAAGTCAAAGACAGGTGTGTTATTGTTTCCTTGGTGTATTTTAGTACTCTGTAATTGATGGTGTGATGTAGGTGTACTGAAGTCAAAGACAGGTGTTATTGTTTCCTTGTTTGATTTTAGTACTCTGTAATTGATGATGTGATGTAGGTGTACTGAAGCTGAACCAGGTTTGTTACTGTTTCCATGGTTAATTTTAACAGTTAATATAAGCTGGTGTTACATTAGTTGTAATGAAACCAAAATGTTTTATTTTATTCCTTAGTAATCAATCATAAAAATACCAATGTTGTATCACTTGTGAAGTATTTATTTCTTTTTATCCTTTTTCATGTAATGTGTTGTAAAAAGACTATTTTTGTTGTATGTTGTTGACAAACTTTACATGAAGAAGTGCATGTCTAACTTGAGTTGATACTTTTATCTCCAACATTATATAATCTATTATTAAAAAGTTTTGACATTATTAATGTCAAATCTTTTTATATTTTATTGATTACATAATGGCTCAATTCCTGAAGAGTAGTTACAACTGATGAAAATTTGGTTTTATTGAATATAATTATTATTATTATTATTTTTTTTACAGAATTAGTAGAAAAACTACAGAAGAATGCTAGATTTGCTCATAAAGAACTCCAAAGGTATTCACATGCATCTTGTTTCAGTATATAGGTAGTTATAGCATATTAACATAGTTTGTTAGATGATACTCAATTGTATCTAAATGAATAAGTAGTAATAATACCTTTCTAACCATAAGAAAGGATTAATAAATTCTTGAAAGAATCAAGAAAAGTGTAAGATATTTGATACTGCTCAAACAAAAATAGCCTGACAGGTATTTAAGAGTCTAACAAAGATATAAAGTAACTTTGCCACTCTAAATAAGTTTAGGACTTCTTAATGAAATTTTGATGGTTCAGGAAAGTAGTGTTAGATTTAATAAAACCTTCTGAGAAACTTTAGTTTTAAAAAGATTCTGAAAGACTTGAAGTTCAAGACAATCCTGGTAGAATTGTGTGAAGCTCATTGCTGTTTTTTTAAAAATTATTATTGGTTTTTATACATTCAAATTTAAGTTTAAGAATTTCTTCAAACCTAATAAAGCTTGTGAATCAGAAATAAAGTTCCTATTATTATTTGTTCCAGGTTAACCAAACTACTTGTCTGTGGTGATGAAGTGTCTCCAGTGAAGCATTTACGGTTGGCAGCAGATCGAGCAGAGGCACAACAACTTCTGGAGCAGATTGTGGATCATGTATGCACTGTTTACATAACACATGATGGTTGTTTTAAATGGACCATACTTTGACAACAAGATATTTAACCGTTTCACTGAGGCTCTGACGTATATTTCTCAGTGCACTGAAAAATATACGTCTCAGCTGCAGTGAAAAAGTTAAATGTTCTTAAATTTAATAAATAAAATAATTATATTGCATTGAATTTGTATTTTGTCAAAATATGAAATATCATATCATCCTTCTTTTAACTTATTGTGTACAATAGTGAAATGTAATCAATATGTTCATAAATTAAAAACTTTAAAACTATAACAAGCATTTATTGTCGACGATGTTTTCCAGCCATGAAGTGACTAACACTTGAGTTTTAGGCTGTTGAGATTTAAAACAACTGTATGCTGTAATTCATATTATTTTTAATATTTTTCATAACACAAGAATCTTTCTTTTCAAGAATTAACTTAATATTTTAAAAACCTACTTAAGAATAACGTATGATACAATGAACATGAAAAGAGGTGTTCGTGTAACTCAAGTATTGACACGTGTTCAAAAATATTAAATATTCATCTGAAAAATTTTGAAGAAAAAACATGGTCATTACACTGATTATTATAGTTTTGCTGATTTAAACTCAATTAATATACTTTTGCTGCTGTTTTGGCTTCAGGAAAAAAGAATTTGCATATGTCTGTGATGTAATAGTTGATTCTTTGTTGTATTAGTCATAAAAAAGATGGGGCTCTGACTGTATCCTAGTGTCCTTATTGTTTTCATATTTCAACTTTTATACCAAAGATAACATGATTCTTTCTTGTTTCAGATGCAAGAAGAAGGTGTGGCTTTGACTGTAGCTAGATACATTGATGAAGAAGAACATTTAGTCCCTCCACCTAGCATTCGTTTGATTGTTAGTGCAATTCTAGATGAAGAAGAAATATCTTCTGTAGTTTCTCTTTTGGAAAAAAACAGTGACACTTTACTGTGATGTTGCTACAAGTTTTCTTGGAGTAAAAAAACAAATTTGAGTTGGTACATTTAGGAAAGGTTTGTTTCCTATATTGTTCCTCTTCATCGACAGTCTTAATTAACATGTACATATTGAACTTAAGGAAAGTATCAGCTTTTTTGTGAATTTTTTTTTTTAATATAATCTTGTATACTGAAGCATTTTCAATGTTAACACTATTCTGATGAGTGTTTGATATCCAGAGTATAAAAAGAGTTTGCCAAAAACAGTAAAAAATCATTAAGCTTGTACTTTTTTAGTTTCACTAGCAGTGTTAAATGTATGTTTCATATCAAACCAGTGTGTTACACTTGTAGATGAACATAACACTAGTAGCACAATTATGATAACATTCAACTTAGTAAAATCTTTGCACCATTACAATACCTAGTCAGTTTCCAAAAGTTTGAAGAGGTGGTTTTGAACATAAACTGCATGTATAAAACATTTGTAACCTAGAACATGGTTAGTTTTATATTTAAAAAATAATAATAATTTAACAAGGCACAATTTGTAGAAAATGCTTCTTAATATTTAACAGAAAAACTATTCAGATTGAAGAACTTAGGTTTCATAAATATTATGGTGAAAACAGTAGATGTTTGTTTACTTAATAGTGTGCCCCAGTATGCTGTTTCAGTTTCCTGTAAAAACAGAGTGAAGGAAAAGATTAAACAAAAAATATATTTACGAATTTGTTTAATATTATCTTAAAATTTTTGTCACTACATGTTTATTCCTAAAGCAGTTTTAAAGGAACATAAAAAAGTAACTAGTATTAGATCAGATGGACTTACAAACAAAAATAAAGCTTGTTTGTTTTAACTAACGAGAGTTCTACATACAAATAATAAATTTGTCATAATTTTACTTTGACTAAAAATAATCTCTCTTGATAGTATTAACTCAGAAACAATATTTTAGTAAACTAAAGTAAGACAAACATAAGTGTATACAAATGTCCTTGAATATTTATCAAGGAAGACTTTCTTTCCAAAATAACTGATGAATCATGTATTACCTAACCAATACAGAAAAATGTATGTGATATGTGTATAGAGTTTTTCTCACTTCATATAATGACATATCATTTGCACTTAAAAAAAACTTAATTGTTTTTAAATATTAATAACTTTGAAATTGGATAGTGAATTTGAAAAATAAAAATTTCTAGCCACTAATCTTCAGGGTAGTTATTATTAAAATACCTTATAAAGTGACTCATTACTAGAATACTGTTACAAGTCTAAAAAACAAGTTGATGCTGATTATTGTCATACATAGAAAGATTGTCTTTTTATTTTTTTCAATAAACTAGAAAATTGTTATCAGCTAACCAAACCTGAAAAATAAAGTTACTAGTTTTCTTGATTTTGCCTTTGTTATGTTTTCTATTTTTAAGGGTTAAATTGACAAAGAACTGATGTCAACTTTTTTCAAACCAAGAATTATCAAAGATAGAGTACAATATATTCCAAATTTAATGGCTAGAACTTTGGAATGTGATTTCAGTCCAAAATAATCGAAGCACATTTCAATTGTGAATATCAAAAACTTGTTAATTACTTACAAATATAATATCAATAATTTTAAATAGATTTAGGCAACCAGTTTCCATGTTTATATGCTTAATTCTTACAAATACAATAGTTGTGCACTCTGCAGTATCTAAACTAATTTATTTATTTACAAATCTTACTTTTCCTAGTGAACTGATGACAGCTATACAACCTAATTTTGTTTAGTCTAGGAGGATGAAGAGGCTTTGCCTCGTGACAATAAATGTATTCTGTTGCCAGTATGGCATTTTTTCATATTCACTGTTTTGTGTGAAAAAGTGTATATCTTTTCTTGTTATTGCACTAAAATTTATTCATCTTTTAAAAATTAAATTAAATTAAAAATACATCTATACTCTCCATCCACTTGATAAAAAAGATCAGAGAAAAATCTATGATGTAATGAAAGAGTATTCATGCAATAGAATTTACTGTTAAATAAATAACATAGTCTCAAAAATTCCTGATCTTAATTCCACTGTTTAGCAACATAAAAAAAACATAAAAATTGTGTGTCAAACTCAGTCTACTTTACACCATAACAATTGCAATTTGCCAATATATCAGCTCAATTAGTGTTACTATGTCTGTTGTATTCCAACTGATCTGAAGAACCCTGTTATAGTGTAGTAAACACCATACTCTCTTTACTTTCACTCAAGTTGCACCCCAGTGGCTTGGTGGTAAGTCTAACGGCTCAAACTGCTGAAAAGCAGGTTTCGATACTTGTGGTAGACACACCATAAATATCCCATTGTGTAGTTTGTGCTTAACCATAAAACAAATTCACTCAAGTTGTTAATAATTATATGATGTCACTAGATATGAATTTGTGAAGATCGATCACTTTGAGTGTTAGATATGCACGACTGTTTCCATTTAAATTTAGTACAAGAATCATGATTTAGATAGTTATGTAGTGCAAGTGTTAAATTTAGTTATTATTGGAACAATAGTTTATTGCAGATTTGTTTACGAAGCATACGTAGTGTAGTTGTGAACTAGCGATTGTTGTATTATTGCATCATGTTACTAGAACTTTCTAAATTTTTCTTTACCATTGAACATTATTCCATCATTAATATCTCATAGTATGTGGAAAGCTCTAGGCCTCTGTTGGGCTGTATATAAATACGAATCCAAAATGTAATTCAAGTTAGTGAAAGATATACAGAAATAGATCTAGGCTTAGTGATTGTGAGTTTAGCCACAAAGATCATATAGTGGCAATTGTTAAAGTAAAATGATCACGGATTGTATTGCAATAACAGAGTAGAGAAGAATAACTTATCTTGTTAAAGTGTGTTCTAAAGTAATTGAACCAGCATGTGTGGTATTTGACGAAAAAGAGACAACTATTTAAAGCTATGGATACAACTGTGGTAATCAACAGTTATGGTGGTGATTATAAAGTGAAGTTATCATTGATTGATTTGTGATGACAGAGCAGAGAAGAATAACTTGTCTTGTCAAAGTGTGTTCTAAAGTAACTGAACCAACCTGTGTGGACTTTAACGAAAAAAGACAGTTAAAAGCTCTGGATACAACTGTGATAACCAATAGTGTAATGAACATTTGTATACATGTTTGACTTGTTTTAATATATAAGTGGGCTCTGTGCTGTTTGTTTATTGTTGAAATTTACCACCAACAAGTCACAGACGTCTACTGTAATGCCCCCCTCCCCCAGTGCAGACTTAAACCGCTAGAAACCGGTGGTGAGAAGAACACAGGTAACCCTTTGTGCTTAACTACAAACAAATCTACTGTAAAGAATCCGGCCCATCCATACATTAAAAAAAAACGGACACAGAGTGCCATGAATATGCCTGCCCAAATTTTTACCAGTGAAAAATGTAAACGTGCAAATACCCATGTTTAAGAACAACAGTATATGAAAAAAATAAACATGTGTGAAATGAACGAGCAAAAAAAAAACCCTACTAAAACAGGTTATTAGTACAAGGACTAGGTAACTAGTTTTGACACTTGCATGTAGCTTTTTCAAATCTACCGTCTTCTGAGAAGAAAATCACACAGGTGAGGTAATGCTTGATTGTGAAATTCCTGTGAGGAGGGGATGTAATGAAGGAAACAGTTCAACTTGAAGTAACCTTCAGATCTAGAGGTGTTAAAGTTTGGTACACTTTGAACGACAGTTTTCAACAGCTATTTTTATGTATCATTTTATCAGCTCATAAGGTAGTCGATGTCTCTTGTTTGGAGGAAAATTGCATTCCTTGTAATTCATTTTTGTATGTTTTGTGTGTGTGTTTAAATGTCTTACTGTTTTACTAACGTAAACTTTTCACATAATTGGGTTGGTACAATATTGTTACAACAGCGGAAGTCATGTGACGCTAGTTACACGTCATGAGCTTCT